GTACACTCACCTTTTCAGTACCTTTCTATTGACTTGTCCAGTGACTTTTCGTGCTGTTTTTGTAACCATCATGTTTTTTTGTTGTTGAGTAAATGGCTTTTTGTTAATTAACACCTGGTGTTTTCAACTATGAGCAAACTTATCGCATACACTTGTTTCACAGTAAACTTAATGCTTTTTTATTGTGTTACAGTAAGACCATGCTTAACACGTGGGATGCGTTCCTAGACAACAAAGAGCTAAGCGAAACAGCATTAAACGAGGTCATTTTAACATAGAGTAAATAGGGATAGGGGAACATGCAACCAAAAATAAACAAATTTTACTTTAATTTTAAGTTATTTTTATATTAATTTGTATAATAATATATGTTAAATAAGACAAACATATGCATACAAAAACGTAAAGTTCGTTTTTTGTGATGAAGGACCCTGACTTGAAGATCACATCCAAAACACCTCGTTTTGCTTTTGCACTCCTTTCAAAATCTGGATCATTCGCTACAATTTGATCAATGATTTTGGTTATGTTACCAAACTTTTACTAAAGAAATCTGTAGAGAAATTTTTTGGGTTCTTCGTTTTCAGAATTTCTATTTTCCAGTTCCACATGTTCTGCCAGTTCTTGAAAGTCGTTGTTGGTAAGGCTCTCACCAGAAAACCTGTTGTAACTCCTCAATATCCTGCTCATCTATATCTCCTAGTCTTGCTATATCAATTAGGTTGAGTTTGGTCAACCTAACGATACAGTGATAGGCTCTTCTCATCGAGAATTCTTGGATACCTTCAGCCATAACGTCTTCCACACTTTGTTCATGCATTTATCGGTTAATTCTTGCCAAGCAAAGTCGATATTTCCTATGGCATTCATGATGTTATATTTCTTCCAAAATTGCAAACAAACAAACATAGATTTAAAGAAAGCACACCTTTTTGCCACCTTTTGTTGATTGGTTTGTGTTTGTAAATAATCGTATTATATACAAATCAATAAAATGCCACAATAATTTAAGTCAATGTAAATTTTGAGCTTTTTTTAAGCTTCAAGCAGACTGCTTTATATCAAATCAGCGTTAAGTGAGGCAGCGTTAAGCAGGGTCTTACTGTATATTTGTATTCTTTATATATTATTTTTTGTTTTGATGAGTAGGAAACTTCATCAGTAATTTAATAATATATTAATATATACTTTTATTTAAAATTTTTGTAATACNTGTAAAGCGCACTAGCAACAAGATTCCGAGAAAAAAGGCTCTAAAGTTTTAAGCGCAGCTCATATACGGATCGATTTTACACTATGGCAGCACTGCGAAATGGCTGAGCCTGTAGCGAACTCGCTTGCCACGCGGACGATCTACGTTCGATTCTACCTTCGACTAACTTTTTTTTTTTTGTTTTAAAAATTGTAACAACTTTTAAATATAAAGTTAATGACCTAAAAGTATTATCAATTAAATCATAAATAACTGTCAACTTTCACACCTGGGAGCTAATTATTCCGTGAGTTTTCACAAGTTAGCAACAAAAGTGGCACTTTCACATAACTTTCCGACCTATCGTCTTAAGTTCATCGGTTGAAAATAACAAGGAATTGAAAAATTCTTCAAATTTAAAACGAATATTTTTAACCTCTCCATAGCTTAAAATATTTTTAAAAAGTTGAATAATTTCAAATGCATTTCTAATGGAGGTAAATTAAAACTTTAATTTTAATTAAAAATTTTAAGATATTTTAAGCTGTGGAGAGGTTAAAAATATTCGTTTTAAATTTGAAGAATTTTTCAATTCCTTGTTATTTTCAACCGATGAACTTAAGACGATAGGTCGGAAAGTTATGTGAAAGTGCCACTTTTGCTGCTGACTTGTGAAAACTCACGGAATAATTAGCTCCCAGGTGTGAAAGTTGACAGTTATTTATGATTTAATTGATAATATTTTTAGGTCATTAACTTTATTTAAAAGTTGTTACAATTTTTAAAACAATTTAAAAAAAAAAAGTTAGCCGAAGGTAGAATCGAACCTAGATCGTCCGCGTGGCAAGCGAGTTCGCTACAGGCTCAGCCATTTCGCAGTGCTGCCATAGTGTAAAATCGATCGGTATATGAGCTGCGCTTGAAACTTTAGAGCCTTTTTTCTCGGAATCTTGTTGCTAGTGCGCTTTACAATTCTTCTGGGTGGACACCCTTGAGGTATACTACTAACCTACAAAGTCTCATCCCGAACTGAATTTCCGAGACCGTAAGGTCCCCTTGTTAGTAAGGCTTGATAAAAAAACCAGCAGATCATTTGCTATTCCAAGTATATTGAGCTGCTGTATTTATCATAAAATGCAATTTTATATAAAAATAATTTTTGGTTAATGTTATCTATAGTTCCAAAATAAAGGTGCTTTCAACCGTTCGTGGTCCAGACGGACTCCTCCTGGAGGGGAGCCGTTGGCAGGTTGCCGAGTGCCAAACGTCACTAGTTATTGATTCATGGTAGTTCTTGAACAAAATAAATAAATAAAGGAAACATCTAATAAAAATGTAGCTAATCTCACAAAGACTAAACAAATCTAATCAAAGTGCCACCATTTTGGAACCATAGGTAACATTAACCTAATTTTTCTAAATATCATTATATTTATTATATTTTATTGCAGCTGAAGTTATTAAATTTTTTTGTGTTGATGTAAAAACATCACTGAAGATATTTCATATAGATAATGATTCATATTTTTCTTCAATATACACTGATCCCCCCTATGTTCATGAATAATTGGAAACAAGTAATCCTTCATGAACATCAAATTCTCTAATTTTAAGTTTCATTTTTCAATGTTAAATTTGTAATTTGTTCCAAGAATTAATATTACTGTTGTTTAATTAAAAAAAATTCAAAGTAATGAATAGGTTTATTAAATAAATATACTGTACAATGGTTTATACTGCTGCAAAAGTCATTTTTCTTTAAGCCAAAAGAAAAAAATAAACAAAACCAGTAGCATAACTTATGACAGACACCCTACAAATGAGTGAGTGCAGTGACCTTTTAGCATTGCATTTGCCCAAAAACCCAGTTCATGCAGGTGCCAACTCCAGTTTACAGTAATATGTAATCTTCTATATCCCTAAAGATTGAAACCTTTCATGTTGAAATTTTTGTGCATAAATTTCTGATTGCAAATGATCAAATTCCCAAACAATAATGTCCATGAATATTGAGGGTGTAGTGTATTTGGATCAGATGATTAACATCATCAGCAAAGAACTATTTGTAAGGGGGCTGAGGGGGAGGAAGATTTCAAAACGAAAAATAACAATTATATGTGATATCATTATTGTCTCCATTGCCATCTGGACTGCTGATGGTAACAATCAACAACATATGGGAGCAGTTGAGTCAGAGATCGATGCCTTGTTCACAAACAACACAATCCATTTATTAGACAATTTAACTTACAAAACATTCTACAGTCACGAAGGGTTGAAGTCCTTTTATACTTTGGCACATATTCTTCAAAGAAGAAGAGGAAACAAAAATAGTTTCCATTTGCTGACTGGATGCTGCATTATAAGTCCAGTTGTGGACCAGGAAAAGATGTCCAATGAATGCAGATTAAAATGTCTGAAGTTTCTCTCAACGAAGAATTTCTTTCAGAAGATACATCGGCAAAAGATGAAGATGGAACCTTGCGGAAAGCATCCCAACGAGGGACACAGCCTTGTGGGATGCCACGGCAAAGAACCAAGTGGCCTGGGCTTAAATACCTTTTTGTCTCGCAAATTGTCATTTTATTGGTTATTAATCCCTCTTCTCAGTCCCAGATTGGTCTTTCTCTGTTACTAGGTGAATTGGACCAGATCAATTCCCAAGAAGGACGATTGTTTATGAATACAATTCGACACTGTCTTTCATTCAGTGTTGAACAAACCTTGTACCTTAACTAACATTTTCTTTTTTGTTCATCTTGTCTTATAGAAAATTTAATTTGCTAATTTTTCTCTTTTTTTTTGCTTGGTTTTAATATTAAAATAATTTTATTTTTCTCCTTTTCCATTATAATTTAGTTCCCTTAATTTTAATTAATCGCAAAGATCAAGACTTGTTTTTGTTTGGATTTTTGATTAAAAAAAAGTTTTTCATCCCAGCCCAGGGCCTCACATATTAACGAAATTTCTATCATCAACAAGAAAGGAAAACCAATCAAATATATTTTGTGACTATTTTTTTTAATTATACATATATAAATTTTTATATTTCCTCTTAAAAGAAGTCTGTACAGACTACAATAATTAAAAAATTTTTATAACATCTTAAACATCAATTTAAATTGAAATGCTATTTTAGATTAATTTCAGTTTAAAATTAGCATTTAGGGATACAAATAATATATGTATAACTGAAATAATATATCACTGGTCAGACTTGCTTTCAAGAAGTTTATTCTCTAAATACTCAATTCTACCTAATTTTATACTTTTTATATAAAATTCTATTTTATAGGCATTATAAAGACTTACATCTCATTTAATACTATATACATAAGGATAATAAAGAGCTGTTCTAATTTACTTCAATTTTAATAGAAAGTATTATGTAAAAATATTATTATGGGATATACAATTAAATTCAACAAATTAATGACAAAGAAAATTATAAAACTAAAGCCAACCAATGATGTATGTCATTGGGCTAGATAACAGCTATAATACTAATAAATTAATAAAACAGCATTGGTTGGCTTATAGTTTTATAATCCAACCAATCACTAAACATCACTAAAACTAAACATTATAGTTTTATAATGTATTGGGTTTTAGTGATGTTTTTTGTTTAAAGAAAATTATATTACTTATTTTTAACCTCTCTAGAATTCACATAGAAAATATTTTCTAAAATATACAAAAGCATGCAAAAAATTAAAATTCAGTACAATTATATAAATCTGTATTAACCCAAACAAAGAATTAATTAAAAAACTAAATAAAATAAAGAATGTATCAATAACATTAAAATTTAAAATAAAAAGTGTGTGAGATTTTGGAAAAGAATAATTTTTAATTTTTTACCTGTACCAAAAGCATCCCAGAGCTCTTGTATTTGACCATTTGCATGAACAACACATTTTTCTGTGCTGTTAGATGAAGCTTTAGATACACAAAAAATATGGGGAAGTTCTTCAATTGCTCTTAGCAAAATATGTTCACATGTAAAAGTTCTACGACACAAATATGATATTTTTACTAATTCAGCTTTGATAAAATCTAAAGAAACTTCTTCTTCTATATTTAAAATGTTAACTAAAAATTCATAAAGTTCTAATTTCGCCAACATATAATTAAGTGTTGTTAAAATTTCGATTATAAATGAACCTGAAAGATAAAATCAATATATTAATTGTTTTGTAAGATTATTCAAAAATATGCTTATTAAATTCAATTGTATTATTAAAAAATTTTAAATATACAAAATAAAATGTAAATTATAACAGTATCCTACACTAATAATAAGTTATAATAGTATTTAAAATTAATGTTTTATTCTTTATTATAAACTAAAAATGCTTATATGACAAATTATATTACACTCTCACTAACTTATTAACCTAAACTCTGTTTACTCTGAACAATTTAGTGAAAAACAAAATTTTTTGTTTTCCACTAAAAGTTTCAGCAAAAAACAAAGTTACAGATTTTTTAAAAACAACAAATTTGTAAAATTAATATGTAGGCTTGCTATATATGTACTGTACCAAATACAATGTAAACATTTTTTAAATAGGAAATGATCCCAAAATCTTTGTGCAGTTTTATTCTTCAATAATTAAAGACCTACAGATATTCAAACTATGCAATAAATAATAATTGAGAACATAACTTTTGAAGTATGTTATGTTATGTTATAATTTTATAATAATTAATTTATTTTACAGTCCTCAATAACTTATCACATCATCAAAAAAAAAAAAAAAAATGTAATTTTTACCTCTACAATTTAACACTAGGATCAAATAAGTTATTGTTCTTCACCGGCAAAACTTGACTATAGCATCAATTCTGTGTGTTAACAAAGAATATAATCCTTTTTCCAAGGTGCCACTACAAAACACTATGACATGAATGTCACTAACTTGAAAGTAGCTAATGAATAGCCAATATTTTTAAAAAATTAAAATTTAACTATAAATAGAAATATTCACTATTTGTGCATAGTTAATATGTACAAGAATTTGCACATATATCTTTATGAAAATTTCACTACTTAAAATAGCATCATCACTATGCCATAAAACTCATTTTTGATAACTTCTCACCTTCTCAATCCACATTAAGTCAAGTTTGTGAGACACTACTGTATTTTATTTACAGATCCTGTTAGTGCCTCCAAATGGATGACAAAGAAAATGTAAACTGCATACAATAAAATCGCTTATTAAAGCCAACCACTCCATAACTTAAGAAAACTGGTCATCTCAACAGGTAATCTGACTAAATCCAAATAAAGCATAGCTTTCCATTTTACATCTATGCCTTTGTTAAAGGTATTTTCATGTTTGCAAATCTGTCACAAGCAATGTTTTTCCATTAGCACACCTTTTTTTTGTTAAGTATCCCAAAACATGCAGCTTATAAAATGTTGTATCATATATAAGGAAGTACACAACTGTTACAAGAGAAATATGTACTTTAACGGCAGAATCTTGCTTTGAAACCAAAATATATTAAATTTTTAAAACATTATGCAGAAAAATGTAAAATGTGACATGTGCACATGCAACATTTTCCTTTACACAGAATGCTTTATCATTTTCCAAAGTATCTTGTGACTCAATCTTTTGAGGCAGAGTCATTCCTACACCTTTAACTGAAATCAGTCATTTCAACCAATCAACTTCAATTTAGGAGTTTCCGTTTTTACGTGTTTTTCTGAAAACACTACTTTGGCACTTGCAGCATTATTTGATGCAAGTCTTCAAATATTAAATTTGTAATATTTGAGTTTTATACATACTATTGTTGTCTAAATTATAATTTTTGTTTTGTAGTCAGGAAGTCCAATATTGGCATTTATGGTTTAATAACATTTCTAATACTTTATGCAAGGTTATTTTCTATGACATTTTTGGCTTTTAAAATTGTCTGATTTTCTATTCCATTTCTTTTGGTGGAAAAATGGTGTAATAAAATATTTTATGATATAAATATTTTGTCTGTTTAGAGTTATTGTCTAAAGACAACTTTATCTCTTAATTTTTTTATTACATGTTCATCATATAATTTGTATTAATATTAAAATATTCATGAAGTTACTGTTCTAATGTATGATTTTACATATATAAAATTATTACTAAGCCTTTGAAATCCTATTGTCAGCAAGAATATAATGTACAAACTTCTTGAGAAGTATCACTAGGGCTATTTTTCAGCTGGAACACACTTGTACTCCATATCTAAAGATAACATTAAGAAGTATCTGTGGCCAGTACTTAGTGCTGGAAGTTGATCAATAAAAATAATTCTACATATATGCATATCAATAGTGCTTTTCTTTTAAAAAAGAGCACTCGCTATCATTTCTTGAGAAGTTTCATATTTAACCTGTCATGGAACATAGCTAGCCTTTCTGACCATGTTTGTATTTTGTTGTTGCTTTCGTAAATCCAAATAGTGTACACTCACCTTTTCAGTACCTTTCTATTGACTTGTCCAGTGACTTTTCGTGCTGTTTTTGTAACCATCATGTTTTTTTGTTGTTGAGTAAATGGCTTTTTGTTAATTAACACCTGGTGTTTTCAACTATGAGCAAACTTATCGCATACACTTGTTTCACAGTAAACTTAATGCTTTTTTATTGTGTTACAGTAAGACCATGCTTAACACGTGGGATGCGTTCCTAGACAACAAAGAGCTAAGCGAAACAGCATTAAACGAGGTCATTTTAACATAGAGTAAATAGGGATAGGGGAACATGCAACCAAAAATAAACAAATTTTACTTTAATTTTAAGTTATTTTTATATTAATTTGTATAATAATATATGTTAAATAAGACAAACATATGCATACAAAAACGTAAAGTTCGTTTTTTGTGATGAAGGACCCTGACTTGAAGATCACATCCAAAACACCTCGTTTTGCTTTTGCCCTCCTTTCAAAATCTGGATCATTCGCTACAATTTGATCAATGATTTTGGTTATGTTACCAAACTTTTACTAAAGAAATCTGTAGAGAAATTTTTTGGGTTCTTCGTTTTCAGAATTTCTATTTTCCAGTTCCACATGTTCTGCCAGTTCTTGAAAGTCGTTGTTGGTAAGGCTCTCACCAGAAAACCTGTTGTAACTCCTCAATATCCTGCTCATCTATATCTCCTAGTCTTGCTATATCAATTAGGTTGAGTTTGGTCAACCTAACGATACAGTGATAGGCTCTTCTCATCGAGAATTCTTGGATACCTTCAGCCATAACGTCTTCCACACTTTGTTCATGCATTTATCGGTTAATTCTTGCCAAGCAAAGTCGATATTTCCTATGGCATTCATGATGTTATATTTCTTCCAAAATTGCAAACAAACAAACATAGATTTAAAGAAAGCACACCTTTTTGCCACCTTTTGTTGATTGGTTTGTGTTTGTAAATAATCGTATTATATACAAATCAATAAAATGCCACAATAATTTAAGTCAATGTAAATTTTGAGCTTTTTTTAAGCTTCAAGCAGACTGCTTTATATCAAATCAGCGTTAAGTGAGGCAGCGTTAAGCAGGGTCTTACTGTATATTTGTATTCTTTATATATTATTTTTTGTTTTGATGAGTAGGAAACTTCATCAGTAATTTAATAATATATTAATATATACTTTTATTTAAAATTTTTGTAATACAGGGTATCCCTAAAGTCTGGACACACAGGAAATCTCATTAACTATAATTTTTCCCTCCACAGATTAAGTATGGCTTTTAGAAAGAAGAAAGAACTGGACTTGTTCTTCATCGGGATCACATCAACTGACCATGTGTATAGACGTGGTCTCCTCATTCACCTGACCTTAGTACCCTTGGCTACCTTTTCTGAAAATGATGGAAATCATCTTGATGTTGTTTAATATTCCAATTGAATAAAATGTTGTTAATAAATTTCATTTCTTTAAAATATGTATTTTTGCCTGTATGTCCGGACTTTAGAGACACCCTGTATAGCAGTGGCATGCAGTGACATGTGATGATAGGGAAGCTGTGCTGGTCCTGGATAGAAGCAGTGGAAGTGTTATACGATATTTTGGTGCATAACATCCACGAGCTAAACCATGTGAGGTTGGTGCTCGAAAGTGCATGAGTGAATGCCTGTAGTTTGGCTGTTTTACACCATTCAAATATTTTGGCCATGGAAGCTGGCCCATATTTGACAATACAGCAACTCCATTGGGAATATGCATATACAAATTTATATTTGAATATACAATAGCAATCTTATTACTGTTTTTCACATGTAGTATAGAAATTTAGGTTAAATTTCAGATGCGTATACTGTCATGGCGGCAGTCCTGACTGACTCCTCTCAGAGGGAAGCTGCCGGCAGGCCGTCTTGTGCCAAACGTTACTAGTTATTGATTCATGGTTGTTCTTGAACACATGTATCAATAACTAGTATGAAGTGCCACCATGATAGTATACGTATCTAAAATTTGACCATGTATTTATATTTTACAAAATACAAGAAAAGCAGCACATACACAGTTTCCATGGATGGCACACCACTACTGTATAATTTATATCATTCCTGTGTTTATGGTTTTTGTTTTAAAAACAATAACTTTTTTCTATTTTTCACTCAAAAATACCAAGTGTTTCAACACTTGTCCCCCAGTGTATATATACAATACATATATAAAGTAATGTCTATTCAAAGTTTTAGTATTTTTCCCATTTGATGTTTTAATAACACATTTCAATCAATTTTTAATGAAAAATTTCTCTCTGTTTATGATACGTCTACTAGAGAGGTGTCTTAAGAGAGCAAAATTAGAAAAAAAGTCCCATGTATAAAAGATGGACTTTTACCTGAATTTTTTATAATAAAAATATACAATAGAATAATAAGACTTACCAACCGTGGCACAATCGTCGTACTTTTTATTATATTTATCTGGAATGTTACTGGAACAGTTAATAAAAATCTTCTCGTCAACAAGAACACAGTCTGAAAACTTCTCAATGATTGTCGCTACACACATTCTACATTTAAAATAACGTAAATGTTTCTCTTTTCCTAAACTTTCGAATTTTGTTTCCGCTAGTTTTAAGAATGTTTTTACAGATAAACAGTCTTTAAAAACGAGTTGTTCTCGAAGAAAACCATAAATGTCTAACTCCTCACGTTTTCTTTCGAAACACATTTTCAGTCCACAGATTAAACTAAAATGAGTAACATTCGAAAATGAAAAGAGCGATTAACTGAACTAAATAAGAAATCGAAACACCTGGGATCGCTTTCCTGGGATCATCTATATACCTTGCTTTCCAGTAAGGAATGATCTGAACATGTGATAACACACGCCGAACTAAGGTGCGAGCGTTAGTTCTAAATTATGCCGCTACGGCGAACAGCGCCAATGGTTGCAACTGGATTTGAATTAAACTAAATTAAATATCTACTAATGTGAGGCAGATAATAGTAAGGGCTTATCATACAGTGATAATAAGCAAAAACATTTAGGAATCAAAGTAGAACATTTAATAAAACAAAAAGGGGTGTACAGTAAAAATGACTACATAAGTATAAAAATATAAATTTTACGTTTTATCAGTGGCGTATGTCATTGGAAGCGGTGGAAGCGCCGCTTTCCTTGTATTTTCTAAAAAATAAATATATATTGTGCGATTATTTTCATATTTTAACGTGTGAAATCCGGAATTTTTACCGAATTTTCCGATTAATATCCCGCAGTTTCCTAAACCTCCAATTAACTTTTCTTTTAAAATCTAAACGAAAATCTAACTTAAAAAAAAAGGAAAATTCCAATCTCCCCTTTCGTTCAAAGTAAACATCCGTCCATTTCGAAACTAATCCCACATTCCAACTCCAAAGTTGATAGTTAGCATGGGCCCGGGGACAACTTTGACCCATCCGCGTACCTTTTACCTCACAACAATTGGTCACACTACCATTCTCCCACGACGAAATTATAAAAGCCGCTTGCTTCCTCCTCTCGGGGAGTCGTTCATCAGCCGCCAACCATAATTTCCTAAGAATATTATATCCAATTGAATAATATATCCTATTGAATACTGTATCCTATTTTTATATATTGTGTCCTGAGAATTCATTGTCCTTATCCTGCCAGTTCGGACCCATCTGGATATCATAATCATTTTCCTCAAGGATAATTTAAAGACATAAAGAGGTATGGAACAAATTTTTGTGAACTCTCTCTCGGTCCTTCGCGTTTTAGGGACTCAGATTTTTCCCTTTGAAATTAGTTATTGTAATATCTATGTAGCTATTAAATCGTTGTTATCTAGTTAAATTGGTGTCCTCTTTTACTCGTATATCGCCTGTCATCTTAAAGTAATACACGTTACGGAAATCCTCAAAGGATATACTTAACAGACGAAAAAAATCGGATATAACTGGCTGGATCGAACATAGTAATTTACAAAACTTATTAACATATTTCCCAACGTATAAAGAATTATTTTTATTTAAAGGTGGATAGATAGAAAAAAATATCACGGTTAATCCTCAAAGGATTTCCGTAACGTGTATAACAGCCTAAAATTTAATCCTCCCTCCGCCACTCGACCCGAAACATTAAATCCCGTTACAGCGGGAAAAGGGATAAACTTTAATCCATCCTGACAGTGAGAAGGTTTACCTTTTTATACTCGCGGTCCACCTAATATTTCATAATTTTTTGTGACCCCCATTTTTTTAAATAATAATTTATATTTGTTAAATTATCTATAATAAATTGATTTTTTATTATTGCTTTATTTTTAAAATTCCAAGCATTAATAGTTTCTTAGAATTACTTTGGAATAAAAGAAGTAAATACTGCGGTGTAAGTAGCATATTTGCATTTATTTCTTTTGTACTAACAAAGTTGTATGTAGGAAGAAATAAGAAATAAATAAAAAAACTAAATATGAAAACTTTATCTTTCTTATTTCACTTTTTAATACGATATTCGGTTATACATCAATTTTTTTTTATTATATTCTGAAGGAAATTTAGCATAATTTGGTGGCCTCCTAGCAAACTTCTTATGGATCCCCAGGGGGCCGCGGCCCCCTGCTAAGAAACACTGGCCTAGACCATCACTGACGCGCAATTGACTGATTGCCCATGGATGTCGGCTTCTTACAGAAACACAGCTTCCCTATCATCAAATGTCACGGCACGCCATTGGTAGATTTATAAGTTAACTCAACCGATAAGAATTTACTGGTACGTTTTTACGATAGTTCTCTTTAGTTGACAAGAGTTTTAAAAAATCCATTAAAATATTTGATATTTTTATTCCGCTCTCCGATTTCATATTACTCACGGATTTCAATGTTAAACCAGTGATATTACGATTTCGTATGTCCCATTTATAAGGGGATGTAGGAAAAAAACGTGTACAATTCTTGTACAATGTTAAAAAGTTAACTGTTACTTTGGTAGCATCATTTACAACTAAATTTAATGAATGAGGGATGTTGTATACAAATGTGATGATGGTGGTGGTGTAGAATGTTTTCGTTTAGACAGTCAACAAGAACACAGTACACGCTTCCTTTCTAACAATAACAACACAAAAAATCACTTTAATATCTCCAAATCAGCGAGTGACTCTCTGGCACTCCACCATTTTTTGATAGTTACAATACTGGACCAGCCACACAGCTACTCACTTTTGTTAGCTCCGTGGTCAGTACACGCTCTGACTCTACACACCCCTAACTAGGCGGGACAATCTCCCCCACACTCCCGGGGACACCGTCACCTCACCCACCCGACACGTGTGACCAAGCTGTGGACTGTTCATCACCACCTTCCGACATCCACACACCTGACACATGTCTCACACATGTTACACTGAACTTAACAAGGGAGATGCACGAGGTACAAAAAAAACTCTAGAATTTATTTTCCTTAAATTTATGATTTATGTATCCGTTGTCATAAAAATTTCTTTCCACTTTTTTCCCGAGACTACAAATATTCGAGTACAAAGTAACCGGTTTCGACTTATTTCTACTTAAGAAGTAGTTAAATAATTAAGCGATTAGGCAATTGGAGGCATAAACAAAACCCTGATGAAAGAGCCGAAATTTTACTTAAACAAAAGCTTAACCGAACCAATCTCTAGCCGAGTGGCTAGAGATTGGTTCGGTTTTACAGCGGGGACTGATTTCTTCGTAATATTAGTAACAAGTAAAATGGCAAAACCGTATTTAGGACAAGACCATGTCTCGGAGACTCACTACTAAGCGGAATCACTTTGACGCTCAAGGCGTCAAAGTGATTTCCGCTTAGTAGTGAGTCTCATTCTCATTCACCAATCTTCTTTGATGTCGCTGCTTTTGGGCGCGATCGTTCAAACTTCGCCGGCCACGACCACGAGGTCATTCATGATGCATTTTCGATTAAATTAACCTATCAAATTTCGAAATTTCTCTCCGTTGCGTTTCTGCCCGGGTTGAATTTTTGTCGATGCGTAACGAAAATTTCCCGTTTTTGAAAAAATAATCGTGGCTTTTGTATCATCCGAAATTATTATTTTTTTAACAATCCACGAAAATTTTTTTTACGAGTGTTATTTCACTATTTAATTTAATAGTGAAATAACACTCGTAAAAAAAGGTTTTTCGTGGATTGTTATTATTCAACGCAGTGCTAAGTGGTGGAAGTCGTTTATATTATTTTTTTATTTTGCACAAACAATATACAGTTTAATTAATTAATCCGATTATAACGTCATCGGATGTAACGACAACCCTAATATAACGCCAAATTTTTCTCGGTCCCACGATTTTACTATACTAGATAATGTTAAAAAACCTATTTGTAACGACACCCTGTTTTAATGTCGTATTTGAAGCACTCCCAAATTTACAAAATTAGATTACAAATTTTATTTAACATAGAAGAAACTACGTGTTCAGTCCTAAGGTCAGAGTTCATTTCCTAGAATGACTGTGGGTGGTACTCTCCCCCACCTGACTTCGGTGGAATGAGGTCAAGGACTATATACTACAAGCACAGATCCCTCTAGGCTGCAACTATGCAGACGCGAGCGAGCGAGAATATGTGGCGAGAAGAGGCGAGTCGCGATAAATATCAAAACCTGTCAGATATGTGCGAGAACCAGAAATTCGCTCCCGCTAGCGTTATTTCTCGCTTCTCGTTTGTGTATGGTTTTCCTTTGCGAAAACTAAATCTCTCGCAACCTCTCGCTCGCTCTAAATTCGCGTCTGCATAGTCGCACCCCTATTGTACAATGTTAGCCAGGAATGCGAAGTTAGTGACGTCAGCACAAGACCTAACAAAGACGAGATCGAATGACGTCAAAGCGATTCTGGTCGTTCATAACGATCTCGTCTTTGTTATTGACGTCACGATTCTATTTGGTTGATTATACATGTTCGGGTTATCTGCGCGCGCAACACGGTATAGAATATTAACCAATGAAATTGTAAAATTTTCGAAAGTGCGGAGTATGTAATCATAGATCACGTGGCAAGGAAAGCTCGTGTTCAAATAATGCATGTAATTTTTCGACGAAGTAATTATTTTTTTTAAAATGTTTTATAACGTTTTTAGATTGTAATGTCAATTTGTCTCTTTTAACAAATTAAAATTTTAATAACCTAAGTTAGAAAAGCGTGAGTTCTTAGATATTTTTCGAAATATTGCGATCTAATTTCTTCTTAACTATCTAAGTAAGATTAACGTCATATTCGACAGTTCAGTAATTGATGTAGGATAATTAAAAAAACAAAACAAAATTGGAATCAGTGACGTTTCCGAGTAGGTGCTGGAAAAAAATCAGGATTTTCTCTCTCGAAATATTCTTTCCCGAGATAGAGAACGTTCTCTAATACGATTGTACAGCGCGAGTAGCATCCAATCGTCCATATTGGATATAACGAATCGAGGCGAAAGACGAAAGAACGACCGAAAGACAACTATCCGCTCGTCTCTGATAAACGAGAGAATCGAAGAGAGAAAAAGTTGTCCAGAATCGCGTNCGTGTTTAGTTTTCGCTTTTAATATTCGTCCAATTTTGTGATTAACGAAGTGATTTATTTTAATATTTCTGTAATTGTTTTATTTGACTAAGTTTTTTATAAGGTAAGATGATTTAAATATAAGTCATTAAATATTTAAAGCTATATTTTTATGTTAGGTGAAGAACAAAATGCCGGGTACTAGGTGTGCTGTGTATGGTTGCAATAATAACCTTCTTGCAGTAAAAGCTAAAGGAGAAAGTGTAACGTTTCATGTGTTTCCTAGACAAAAAGACTTAATTTCTAAAAGAATTAGGTCTGAATGGATTAATCGTTGCAAAAGGAGCGATAAATTTAATCCAGATACAAGTAGAATATGTTCTGTTCATTTTGTTCAAAGTGATTATGAAAGAGATTTACAACATGAATTGTTGGGTAAGTCATAAGTACAGTTCATTCATACTTGTTTTGGCACGTGAATGTTTAATTTGCATGTTTTAGTATAAAACTGCAGAATATTTTCTATTTCAGGTTTACCAGATAGAAAGATTCTGAAGAAAACAGCTATCCCCACATTAAATCTTCCGGATAGAATGAACCCAACAGTTACGGAACAAGAAAGAAATTCAAAAAGAAAACAAAAAGAAGTTAATGATCTTTTGACAAATGATGATAACAATAGTAACAATCTTCAAGATGAATATCATTACAAAATTAAATATAAGAAGCTGTTAGAAGAATATAATGTTTTAAAATCACAATATGAAAAATTGAAAGAAGATCATAAGAAAAGAATAAAAGTATCAAACGATTTATTACGATATTACAAAAGAAGTATCTATCGTCCAAATCTACAAAAATCAAACCAGATAACTACAGATTTGTTGACACAGGTCTTTAAAAAAAAATCAAATTTCATTACTATCAAAGAAGAAAAAACGAGTTAACTGGAACACAGAAGATATGTCTATAGCCTTAACATTAACGTATTACAGCAAAAAATGCTACATATATTTAAAAAATAAACTACATTATCCTTTGCCATGTGTATCGTCTTTGAAAAAATGGGCATTTCAAGTAAATTTACGAGAAGGAATATTGAAAGATGTCTTATTAATGTTGAAATTGGCTGGAGAAAATTTTACACCTTTTGAAAAAACAGTGGTGCTTTCATTTGATGAAGTGAAAATTAAGGCAGCTGAAGAGTATGGCGTCTGTACAGATGAAGTTCTAGGACCTTACAATCAAATCAACTCGTCAGGATAAGAGGATGGCAGTGATGTGATAAGTTTCTATGAAATCTTTCATGTTTTGCAAAAATCTTCTTGTGTGTCATTCTGTTATGTTCTAATATTTAATAATTTCATTCTTAAATCTATTTTTATTCCACATGAAAGATACAAATTAAATTAACTAATATTTCTATATAGTTTTTAATAATCTAGTGTTCATGTTATTAAATTTATAAATAACAACTTCAGAACATTAAAATTTAACACTTTAATAACAAATTAGGATAAAACAAAAGTGTTTTCTTCCTTATTCCAGGAAACCATATTCAAATGCTAAAATAATAATTCTAGTTTTTCATACAGAATCCTTCAAATGCAAATATACTGTATTTTTTCATTAAACTGTAAAAATTACAAAATTTTAATTAAATATTGTAACAATATAGGCAATATTAACAATCCATATTTTACTTTTAGTCATAGTGAAGTTGAATTTCATTTTATGCATATAAATTTATATAAAATATTAAAATTATTTCATCAACACTAAAATTCAAAAACCATAACATTTTTTGGAAAAATTAAATTTTATCAATTTGGATTATCTCTTCAATCTGCAAATTTTTATACTTGTATTTAAAAAACTGATTATTATTTAAGAAAAGCCAATATCTAAATTATTATAGAAGTAACAATACAAATATTTACATGGTAAAACTGGACAGTACTTGTAAGAATAAGTTCCACAAAATATTTAATAATGATGATATTCTTTCTTGAAAGAATCCAAAAATTAACTGCACAGAAATATTTTTTTTAACAATATAAACTCTAAATATTGAAAATTTAACATTCCTTATTTTAGAATTCAAACATTAATATATTATTATAAATAATTGATCTTATATATAAAACTATATTTGATACATACGATCTCTATTTTTACTATCACATAAATATCACAGATCATTATCTTGCATTTACTAAAATAGATTAATCAGAAATATAATAAAATTAAATTTTTTTCTCTGAATTATATGAAATTTTTATAGCCATTTTTATCCTCAAGGAAAACTGCATATCTTTCAACATTGTGATTAATGTTTGAAACAAATTAAACTTTTAATTACATTTTCATTATGAATTAGAATTTGAATCTTATTCATCAAAATCAATTTTTACATAGCTTGCATAGTAGTAGTATCATGTATTATTGTAAAATTCTATAAATATTCTTAGATGTAAAGTTATTACGACATGATTTTGGGGAATAACCAGATTCAAATATATATTAATTTTATACATACATTTAGTTATTAAATTCTGTGAATATTGTTATTATTATAAAACTTTCCAGTAATACATAAAAAATATTTAGTAATTTGTTGTTTTTAATGAACTTTTTCAAAAGATTTGTTAAGTTTTCAGAATCATTTCAATCTAACTTGACTTTTTCACACTTTGGATTCAAGTCCCTAATAGGAAAATCCTTGTATTGTTTTTCATATAATAATTTAATATTATCCCAAGCACATCTTGAAGTAATGGCACAAGAAACATTAGTAGGTCTTCTTCCAATCCAGACAAGAATTGCCTTCCAGTTATCTTCTATCACTCCAGGCTCTTCTATTGCAATAAAATTTAAATGCCTGTTTTCCAAATTATATAAATTTTTTACATGTTTACCATGTTCATATACAATATCAGCAATAATCCACACAGTTTTACCATCATCTGTTTCAATGTAACCTTCAGATTCTGTAAAAACAGACAGTGTTCCACAACTTGTCAGAACAGTAAAAATTCCTTTTTTAAGATCATCATTTTGATCATATGTTGTTTCTGGCACTACAATATCAGAATTACAATCATCATTTATCTGTAGTGGTTGTTTTTTAATATTTAAAATAGCACTTTCATATTTTTCTTTTAACTCAAAGATTTCAGATTCATCCATACTGTTGTCTGTGTCATTTCTGTTACTTTCACTTTCTTTACATTTTTTATCAAAATCAAGTTTTGTATTTTCTTCTGAATAAATTGTAATATCTGATTTTGTACTTTCTGTTGGTTCTGATTTAATGGATGAATTTTCACTGCTGACTGAACTTGCGGCATTACTATTGACTGATGATACTTCTGAGGGAGATGATGATAACTTAGCATTTACTGATGGTGATGGTGAATATGATGATTCTACATGAATACAAATTTATTATTATTATAAAAATGATAATATTTAGCAATACATAATAGTTTAAAAAACCAAAATTTCACTTGTTATATTTTTTTGCCCTTTGCTTTTCAACTCATTATAAAAATATTGGAACAAATAGAACTAATTAAATATTTCAGACAATAGGGGGCGTGACTTTACCGTGAGCGCTGCTGGTGACTTTGTTTCTACACCTCGACGTAAATCTAGAATTTAGTGTATTTTTTCAATTTTATTATCTGAATTAACCAAAAGTGTTTAATACTAATAAGAAATAACCAAGTTCGAGGAAAATTAATAATTAATAAGTATGCAACGTTCACCAAAAAAACGTGGTAGACCGCCAACTAATAGAAGCAAACCGGAAAGCAAAAAGACGCAACCAGGTACATCTAATTTCAAGCTTATAACGGACTACAACTTATCAATGGATAAAGAATTACAGGAATCGTCTACGGCAAACANTTATTATTATAAAACTTTCCAGTAATACATAAAAAATATTTAGTAATTTGTTGTTTTTAATGAACTTTTTCAAAAGATTTGTTAAGTTTTCAGAATCATTTCAATCTAACTTGACTTTTTCACACTTTGGATTCAAGTCCCTAATAGGAAAATCCTTGTATTGTTTTTCATATAATAATTTAATATTATCCCAAGCACATCTTGAAGTAATGGCACAAGAAACATTAGTAGGTCTTCTTCCAATCCAGACAAGAATTGCCTTCCAGTTATCTTCTATCACTCCAGGCTCTTCTATTGCAATAAAATTTAAATGCCTGTTTTCCAAATTATATAAATTTTTTACATGTTTACCATGTTCATATACAATATCAGCAATAATCCACACAGTTTTACCATCATCTGTTTCAATGTAACCTTCAGATTCTGTAAAAACAGACAGTGTTCCACAACTTGTCAGAACAGTAAAAATTCCTTTTTTAAGATCATCATTTTGATCATATGTTGTTTCTGGCACTACAATATCAGAATTACAATCATCATTTATCTGTAGTGGTTGTTTTTTAATATTTAAAATAGCACTTTCATATTTTTCTTTTAACTCAAAGATTTCAGATTCATCCATACTGTTGTCTGTGTCATTTCTGTTACTTTCACTTTCTTTACATTTTTTATCAAAATCAAGTTTTGTATTTTCTTCTGAATAAATTGTAATATCTGATTTTGTACTTTCTGTTGGTTCTGATTTAATGGATGAATTTTCACTGCTGACTGAACTTGCGGCATTACTATTGACTGATGATACTTCTGAGGGAGATGATGATAACTTAGCATTTACTGATGGTGATGGTGAATATGATGATTCTACATGAATACAAATTTATTATTATTATAAAAATGATAATATTTAGCAATACATAATAGTTTAAAAAACCAAAATTTCACTTGTTATATTTTTTTGCCCTTTGCTTTTCAACTCATTATAAAAATATTGGAACAAATAGAACTAATTAAATATTTCAGACAATATAACTGATAAAATTTGAATCTATTTTTTAATAATAAATTTAAACAGCTTTCCTGTATCTTTTCTCATCCCCTTCATTTCTATCTACTGAACATAATTACTAAATTATTAATTGTATAATGCATTCCTACAACAAAATGAGAAGTCATTGCAAAATTCATAGTCTTAATTTATAACACTAATAATTTTCTATATGATTTTTGCATACAATACCAAATGATACATCTAACCTTTGATTTATGTGGAATCAATCTATCAACCCTTGCTCCTAACCTGTAAATTCTGCTTACCATGAGATGAGTGAATCATCTGTATGGTAAATAGAAGTTGAGGGTTTGAATCCTGTTCTGGGTCAATCTTTTCTTTCAGAATATTCTAAATTAATTTTTTAAATATTAAATTTAATACAAGATGGCAACTTAATCACCTATCTTTAGTCCAAATTACACAATATCTACATATTTGGTTAGCCCAATAATGAATCTGCTGTTATAATTTAATTATCATTAATAATTATTTTGTTTGAGTATTTCTGGAGTTTTCTCAGACCTTAATGCTTGTTAATATATATATATATATATATATTAACAATTTGCTTAATATAAAATCAGTACTGATAATATGTGCAAATAACTAATAATATATGAATGACCTTGTAGACCATAACAGCCTGAAATGACTAAGAAGGGGATGTAACAAGTGCAAGAAATTTTAGAAAGAATAATTTTTCCAACATCTGTAACTAGCAATTTAATCAGAATCTGAATCATTTGGATCATCAGAATTTGAAAAATTTGGATAATCTTTTCTTTACTCTCTTGAGTAGATTCTGTTTCAATGAGTTGGAAATTTTCAATTCTCTTGAAGAAATGATCCTAAAAATTCATGTATACTGTAATTAAAAAAAACATTAATATGACAAAATCATCTTTCATGCTTTGAATTCTGCAACTGTGAAAAACTGAACACACAATGTTGTATGTATGGTGGTTTAATCACAAATACAAATGATTGGTGATTTAATTTCATGTTTCTTTTGATTTTTTGAAATTAGATAAAGTGAGATCATATATAATAAGGGGTACTTTAATATATAAAAGTAACAAATTTACTTCATTAATGAGCTATATTCAAATAAAATTTTTATAAACTTAATTTTAATATACAGCTTGCAAAAGGGTAATCAATGAAAATTTACCTGAAAGACTTGTAAAGTTATCCTTTGGTGTATTGTCATTTTCAGTGTTTTTGTTAGAACACTTAAAATAAATTAAATTCTTATCACTTAAATAAAACACGTCAGAATACTTTTGGATGATTTCAAGTACAGTGTCTTCTGTAATTGAATAGTTTAGGCATAAATTGGGTTCTAATAAAAACAAATCATTGGGCTTTATGCAATAGCTGATAGAAAGAATATGAACCATTGCACAATATAAATGGACTTCTGACAGTATTTTTCTACAGGATCTGCTAGCATAAACTAAAAAATTTTCTAGAAAATAAAAACAACAAATAGATTAATTTTAAATATTCAAATAAAATAGAATACAGTAATACCCCGACTTACACGAACCTGGAGTTACGCGATGTTCAAATCTCGCCGATTTGTCTTTTGTTTGAGCGCCACGAACTCTTGATTACTCACTCCCCCCATACTATTGTTCAGCTTACATGTTCGGATGTGTTGCGCGGAATCCACACATAGCTACAATTTATTTTGTGTTATTTATTTCTGTGTTTGTTATATCTACGGAGACTTGAGAGACTCTACTACGCCATCCAAACGAAGTAGAACTAATTCTTCATCAAACAAGAAAAGAAAAACTTTATCTTTGGAATGTAAAGTTAACATTGGGTATGTTCGTAAAGTCAAATGAGTTAAGCGAGAATGAAGTCATCGTTATTCCTATTTCATTAGACTTTTCGAACGATTCGTTACTAACGCGCTTAACTCGTTTGACTTTACGAATGTACCCATTATTAAAGACTTCAATACAAAAATGAAAATTTGTGAATTGGCAAAGAAGTTTGATCTACTGGAATTGTCGGTCAGAACAATTATAAAAGGCAAAGAAAAAATTCTTGAAGCTGTGAAAAATGCTCAATCTTTAAATTCATGCATCATTCATAAACGTCACAGTATTATCGCTGAGATGGAAACAATGTTAAAATTATGGCGTAATAATCAAGTAAATGTGAAAAATTATAAAATAATATAGGCCTAATTTGTTATACATATGTATTATCTAAGACTTTATTAAACATTTTTTTCTAAATTATTGTTTTCTTTAGTCTCCGGCCCCAATTAAAAATTATTTGTATGTATTTATATGCGAAATTATACCCCGACTTATGCGAATTTGACTTACGCGGTTACCGCTCGGTCCCACCTATTGCGTAAGTTCGGGGTATTACTGTATTCATTATTTTTAATTATATATAGCTATTTCTATGAGGGGCATCCAGAAAATAAAGAACATTTGCACATAGCACTGTGCAGATAAATTACTGCCATTGATTCAAAGTCAATTTATTCCCTGAAGTGTTAGCTTAGCATATGTAGAGTTTTGATAATGGCAGGCTTATTGTTACTGTTTTGTCAAGGGTTAAAATACAAAAATCCTGCCAAATGTGAAATGTGAAACATTATTATTTTTCTAAACATGTAAAGAGTTCATTCTATAGAAATTCATAAACAAATCATGGAAGTCTAAGGTGATCACATTACGCACAAAGCAAATGTAAGCGAAAGGAGTTTAATGTTTAATCAAGATAGATAATGTGCAATCACATTCTACTGCAGTCATTCAAGCTGTAATTCAGAACTTTGGCTGGAATGTTTCAACTATCTGCCATACAGACCAGTGGCATGCCATCCATGGAAGCTGTGGAAGCTCTGTTACCCTTGTATTTTCTAAAATATAAATACATATTGTGCAATTATTTTCATATTTTAATGTACTTTGAATTAATTAAAATTAATATTTTATTATAACCACATTAATGTGAAAAACAATGATAATGTGAGAAGCCGGAGGTACCTGCTTAAAGGTGCCACTTACTCGGCCTATTCCATGAGAATAGTCTCTGTGTTTCGAATCTTTGGATCCGATCCTAAACAGGATTTTGACCGGGAGGGCTTTTTTAATATTAAAGAGGATATAGACGGCGAAGCCTTTATCCAACGTCAGAATTCCTGTGACACCAGTTAATCAAATTTGGATACGTGGATTAACACGCGTGAGGGGTCAGATTCAGAGATCTCGGAGACATTAGGTTAAATAATAATAAAAGGAATTTAATTAACATATATATGTTAATTAAATTCCTTTTGTATATGACTTTATATGACTATACAAAGATGGAGTTACAAATAAATGAGACACAATAAATTTGACTTAAACTATATATATATCGAGAGAGAGAGCTCACAATTTCATAGTAAACATACAACCTGTTAGTTGTTCTTCCTTTCCTCTGTATGTGACGTATTTATCTTGCTCCTGGAGTTCTCTGCCTTCTGTTCATGGAGAGATCCACTTAACTGAGAATATTTGTCTATGGAAGTAAGCCTTTAGTATACGGTATTTGCTCATAGCATAGGGCGTTGGCCTTTAGGAGCTTGCATGGATTTCGTCTGAATACTCGGGGACCTGTTGACGAACTCCCCAATGACGGTGTGGAGCAAATATGGGAGACGTCTCTCCTCGATGAGATTTTCTGACGAACTCCCTGAATTCAGCTAAACTTCGCTGATATCTTCCCATTTACGACCAATCATCGTATTTGGATTTTCCCACATGGACGGATGGGAAGGGGTAGAGATGAGGGGTAAACAGTTCCCATCGAAGCGATATTTTTCACAGATGAGGGAAAAACAGAGGATATTCTAACTTCCGTGAAAGGAAGTGACTCTCTTAGCTGTTTTCCCACGCTAGAAAACGTTATTTTTCTCACTCAAACGAAAGAATATTTTTCATTATTATTTTAAATTTGTGATTTAAATTGTTATTTAGACCCAGGGGCTATTCGGATCTCACAATAAGATTGCTATTGTATATTCGAATATAAATTGCTATATGCATATTCCCAATGGAAATGCTGTATTGTTGAATATGGGATAACTTACATGGCCAAGATATCTGAATCGTGTAAAGCAGCCAGATTACAGGCATTCGCGCATGTGCTTTACTGAGCACCAACCTCAAGCGGTTTAGTTGGTGGATGCTATCCACCAAAATATTGTATAGTGTTTCCAATGATTCTATCCATTAGCCACTGGTAGGAAGCCAAGTGCATTGTTTTAAGATTTAAAAAGTAACAAAGATTTTATGTTATTTTTATGTATGTTTCTTTACAAAGCTTTATTNTTATGTATCTTATTACAAATTTCTATACTACATGTGAGAAAAATGATAAGATTGCTATTGTATATTTGAATATAAATTCGTATATGCATATTCCCAACAGAAGCTCTGTATTGTCAAATATGGGACAGCTTCCAGGGCAAAAATATTTGAACAGTGTAAAACAGCCAGATTATAGGCATTTGCGCATGCACTTTACAGAGCACCAACCTCAGGTGGTTTAGCTGGTGGAAGCTACACACCAAAACACTTCCAATGATTCTATCCAAAACGGCTCTGGGCTGTTAGCTGCCTGCCTGTTAGATATTTGGCTGCCCTTGTCCCATTATGTGAATCGCGAGTAGATTTATAACTTAACCCAACCGATAGGAGTTTACTGGTATGTTTTTATGATAATTCTGTAAAGTTGACAGGAGTTTCAAAAAAATCCATTAAAATATTTGATATATTTATTCTGCTCTCCCATCTTGTATTACTTACAGATTTCAATGTTAAACTAGTGATATTATGATTTAGTATGTCCCATCTATAAGGGGATACAGAAAAATACGTGTACAATTCTTGTACAATGTTAAAAAATTAACTGTTACTTTGACAACTAAATTTAATGAATGAGACGCACAAGGTACAAAAAAAAAAAAAAAAAGCTCTAGAATTTTTTTTCCTTAAATTTACGATTTATGTATCCGTTGTCATAAAAATTTGTCTTTCCACTTCTTTCCCAAGACTACAAATATTCAAGTACAAAGTAACCAGTTTCAATTTATTTCTATTTACACAAGTAGTTATGTAATTAAGAGATTATGGAATTAGGGACATAAATAAAACCCTGCTGAAAGAGCCGGAATTTTACTTAAAAGCTTAACTGAATCAATCCATAGCCAAGTACAGTGGGGACTGATTTCTTCATAATATTAGATGTAATAAATACAGAAATTTTTCCAGTTCAATGAGAGTGACTGAAAAGTTATAAATTTTGGAAATTTCCATAGACACCACCTGGTCGTAAAATGAATTATTTAGAAAAAAAATGACGGACAATCTATTAACATTAGTAAATAATATAAAATAAATATTGAAAATTATGATGAGACAGTTATGGCTAATAGATATATTATATCTAAATTAATAGATGTTATATGTTTTTTATCAAAGCAAGAATTGGCATTTAGAGGGTATAGAGAATCTACTGAATCTAATAACAGAGGTAATTATATTGAACTTGTTTATTTATTAAGTATGCCAGATAAATAATCTATTAAAAATACATTTAGAGAAGTCTATGGTTTTTACTAGCTTATCGAACAAATGAATACAAATAGACCCTAGAGGGCCTAGACCATCACTGATGTGCAATTAACTGATTGCCCCTGAAAGTTGGCTTCTTACAGAAACATAGCTTCCCTTTCATCAAATGTTGCACGCCACTGGTGAATTTAGAAAAACAAGAGTTAAATTTTATTATTAAAAATTTAAAAACATATTATTGATTATTAATGAATATAGACTGCTTTTTATGACTTGTAAACCAAAGCAAAATATTTAATAAAATTGATATTATTTCAATTTGACTTCAATTACAGAAATAAAATTTTAAACTAAGTTAGTGAAATGTTTGATTTACTAATTATTCAGTTGTTTACAATATAAATTTATACTTTATATTTATATAATAGAAAGGTATTCCAATTAATAGGTATAAAAATACCTTTATATTAATTAAATTATCAACAACCATGAGGCAGATAATAGTGAGGGCTTATCAGACCAATGATGGGCACAAACGTTCAGAAATCAAAGTGAAAATGTTCAATAAACACAAAAATGATGATTATGAGTATGGAAACAAAAAAACTCAAAATGCATTTTGGACTATTTTCTCATCACTTGGTATTAACTAAAGGTTTTAGTATATTTAAAATTATACAAGGTAAAGATAAACCTAAAACTATGCCTAAAGCTATACAATATAAAAGATCTATTGTATAGCTTTAGGCATAGTTTTAAGTTTACCTTGTATAATTTTAAATATACTAAAACCTTTAGTTAATACCAAGTGATGAGGCACTATTTTCTATTAGAAAATAGTCCAAAATGCATTTTGGGTTTTTTTGTTTCCATATTT